ATAAATTACATTTTAAAATATATTCAAATAGAAAACAGTTATTTGAAATAGCCTTGTAAAAATATTTGTACTGCATACTGCATTGTTCATATACTTTATTTATTACCTGGAGATGACTTGACAAACACAAATAAACCATATATTGTCCCAATCGTATGTTTAATGTCTTCATGTTTCCAAACGTTTCTGTTTTCTGTGAAAACAACTGTTTTCATACAGCGATAGCTGGACGCTTTTTATTTTCATATTAGGAATTTCCTCGTACGACTTTCTGCTCGGGAGCGCCCTCCGGCTTCGAGTATGAATGAAACATACACTGCATGAGTGTTTAGCGCTCCGCGATGTTCATCTCGACTTATTCTGGGTCCGAATAAAACATCAGATCATGCACAGACTATCCTGTCTCTTTGAATTTAAATCTATATTTATTCACACCGGCTCTTGAAAACCTCTATGCGAACACACTTGCCCGAAAAAGTGCGGGGGACGAAGGGGCACGTCCCCCGTCTCCCCCGCGTAATCTACGCCCCTGCTTTCTGCACTGTGTGGGCGATATGTGACTGGTCAAACCATCTCATCAACCCACAGTCAGTCCCTGTTATGACAGACTTACATTTCACATATTTTATTTTGTAATATTTTCATCTTCCTTCACAGGTTACCATTGGCATGACTCTTCTCTCTGGAGATCCCTGCTTCAAAACGTGAGTGTGTTGTATATTGTAGATTAACTTTGTGTTACTGAATTTTATACTTCTTAATTAATTAAAAAAAAAAAAAAGTTTTCAACCCCACTAAGACCCCTCAGCAAACTTCAAATGGGGCCTCAAGATGATTTAAAATGATTTAAAATAAGACAAACCAAGATTTGAATTTTTTTTTATTTATTATTTCACCCCCTTAACAGCTTTTTTTTTTTTTTTTTTGAGAAGAAAGGGTTTTGGGGTTATAAGGAGGGTTTTGAATATAAATTTTAATAGTGTGTTTTCTATTACTAGACAAAAGTTTATTAATTTACATGACCTTTTACCAGGAAAAGGTAGTGTAAATTAATAAACTCTTTTGTCTAGTAATGCCAAGTTCTTAACTATTTTATCAGGTAGAAAAAATGAAAAAAATATTCATAAAAATTCTTATTGTTAATCCTTATCCATTAAATCATGAGTGAATGAAAAATGTTTTATTAATATAAAATAAGTGGGATTCAGCTATTAAAATGGTCTCAAATGTAATTAGTTTTATTACAAAAATCATAATTGTTGATTATTCCCTTGAAATTGTAATTGCAATTATTAATTACGATTATCACAATTTACATTGAATGATGTTACCATTGTTTGAAGCAACTGTGTGCCATATATTTATATGAAAATAAACAAGCTGAAAACACTCACACTGAAAAACTTTTATTGCTTTTCTATAGTATTAAGTCTCAAATGTCAACCATACATCGGATTGGTTTCTTCTTTAAATAATAAAAGGTAAAAATATGCATGATATTAAAACAATGGGAAAAAAACCCTTAAGATAACCTGTAGAAAGGAAAAAAAAAACACAAGCACTCAGAATAACATAAGTAGACTTTGAACGATTAATTGCCACTGTGAACGATTACGTAATTGTGGCATCTGTAATTGTAATCGCGATTAGAAATTCAATGCAGCTCTAATTGTTGTGGACAATGAGGGGCCTTGCAGTAAAGAAACTGTTGTTTAGTTCTCTTGATTCAAGCTCAGTATAGCACCCCTCTTGTTTATATTTGTAGGCAATGTGTAAGTATAAATTATTGATCAGTAGAGAGAATACAAGCTTTTATTGTTCCCTGATGATATCTAAACTTGTCTTTCACCTTTTCGTCAGGCCTGTGAGCACAGCTAAGACCATTGCCATAGCCGGGCAGGACCCCTCTCTGCAGCTGGACCGCAAGGGAGAGGGCACCGCCGACCACTCTGCACCGGCCCTCGGTGGCAGCACTCGCCGATCGGTCAAAAGTAGACCATCTGTGAACAACTCTGGTATGACCAACACACCTACAGTAGACCATCTCTGAAACTGTGAAATCTGGAGAATGTCAACAAGTAGAAAAATGCTTTACATTTACAATTGTATTAAAAGTGCACAGTATTTTATGATGATTTTGCAACGACTGTTTTTGTTCGATATTTTGGGCTTTCTAAATAAATGGTGCTAACCTGAGGTTGTTTGTTCTTAGGAGGACTTCAGGAGGGATTGGAGGAGAACCTGTCCAGTCCAGATGAAGTGTTTCACACGGGACATTCTCGCAACTCCAGCTTTGCCAGCCAACAGAGCAAAATCTCAGGTGGGACTCAGGGCACGATCAAAAGAGCATCAGGTACAGATTATAGCTGGTTACAGTATAAAAAACAACTTCAAACTACACTTCCATCTTAATTTGAACATTTTCTGAAATTAAATGTAATCATTTAGATTTACAACTGAATAAATTCTTTAGCAATTTACAATATGATACAGGAGCCAAGAGTAATACAGTGATTTTTGTGTTCTAAAATCACAAAAATTGATTGAGAGAAAATTTCACTTAAAGAAAATGAGTGTACTTTTTCATTTGCATACACTTCCATTCAAAGGTTTGGGGTCGGTAATCGGTTTTTAAGAGAAGTATCTTATTCTCTTATAATTTGATCAAAAATACAGAAAACAGTTATTTTAAATTGTAATAATATTTCACAATATTACTGTTTTTACTAATTGAAATATTTTTAAATGTAATTTAATCCTGTAATAAGAATAGTGTTTATTTCAAATAGAAATATTTTGTAACAATATGAATGTCTTTACTGTCACTTTTTCATCAATCTAGTGTATCCTTGTCTGAATATTAATTTCTTTCAAAAAACCTTTGAACTGTAGTGTAAAACCTAAGAGGCTGAAAAGTTAAAGTGAAAATTAAATTCTTACGTTCTTTTGAACAATTTTCTTTCACAACACTGCTTATTTTGATCACAAGAACTGCTGCTCACCCTTAGTCTTGTGGGATGTGCTTGTCCTCCACGCAGGCTACAGTACGGAGCACTCTCACTCCTCCAGCCTGACAGATCTGTCCCAGCACCGGCGGAACACCTCCACCAGCAGCAGCAACACATCAGGAGGAACGTCTGCAACTATCGAGAGCCCCGTAGAGCCGGAGAAAGAAGTGGTAAAACCAGAGAGACCCCCACGTCCCCCACGACCTGCTCTGCCCCCAAACAGACCCTCAAGGTGGGGAGTCACCAGCAACACCAAGATACTAAAAGTCTTTGTTGTTTTATGTGGAACTGCACAAGCAAAAATGGCATGTAGTTAAGATAAGAAGTATATATATCTATGCAGGAGAAAGAAGGACACTGTTGAGAACCATCCCACATGGGTGGACGACACACGCATTGATGCAGATGATATTGTGGAGAAGATTGTGCAGAGTCAGAACTTTGCGGATGTCAGCAACAATGAAGGTGTGTGGAGAAAAAATTTGGTAGCAGTCTTAGTAGTAGTATTAACTATTTAGTTCCTCTTAAGCTTATTTTAATTCAACACTTTGATTACTGATACATATATGAGGGTTTTACCCACTTGTGAAGCCTTCGCATCACTAAAGCTGATCATTTTGTCACTCTTTCTTTTGTCATTTCACAGACAGCAATTTAACTCTGTTCGTCAGTAGGGATGGCACCACAGCATTAAGTGGCATACAGCTTGTCAACAGGTAAACTGGTGCTCTTTTCATATGCCATTTAATTTAGTGTTATATAAATGTACAAAGTATGAATTTAATTACTCCTTTGTTTATTACACTGAAAAAAATGGTATAGAAGCTATTTTCACTCAGAAATGGCTAGTCAATTTCACAAACAATTACAAAGAAACGGCATTGAGTTCAATTTGAAGTAGAACAACCGGTATTTTTTTAAAAATCATACTCCATTAATCTTTGTTTTATTTACAACTACTAAAAATATTTTTTTTTACAGTGTATTTATACTATCATTAAAAAGTTTGGGGTCTGTAAGATTTTTTTTGTTTTTAAAAACATTTTTAATAAATCTGTTTTCCTCTTATGTGCACCAAGGCTGAATAATTTTTTTCAGAAATACAGTAAATACAGTTATATTATGAAATATTCTTGCAATTTAAAAATCTGTTTTCTATTTTAACATGGTTTAAATGTAATTCATTCCTGATTTGGCAAAGCTGAATTTTCAGTAGCGTATTTTGTATTTGACTGTTATAATATCATGTTTGATATGGTTCTTTTATTCTTTGGCAGGGTGTCTGCGGGTGTTTTTGAACCGGTGGTGATTGAGAGCCATTAGATCTCTGAGGCCACAGTAGATACTCTCTCACACAGCCACTGCCTTTTTATTATTATTTTGAAAAGATGGAGAGAGCAAGACAGGGACTGTATGTCAGAGTGGGCACCTGACTTCACAACTTGCTCCTCTTATGGGTCTGACGTATTACTCGCCTATTACAACCGTAACACCCTAATCATGCATTACATTTGCTGAAAAAACAGTGGTGGGTACGTTCATTGTTCTATGATTAAGAATGAATTAATCATAAATATTCTACAGCGGATTACAAACTACTTGAAATGCTTTAAGAAATGAGGCAAGATGGGAGCTTCAGTCTAACACTGTGAAATATGAGGGCAGTCCAAAGGTTTTAGAAAGAAATTTAGTTCAATATTATATTAAAATTTTAGTAGCATTTCACATATTATTTAATGTTTTAAAGTGGGATGATTTAATGTCTTATATTTTTTGTGATGCATTTCACACCCCTATTAAATACAAACCACTGAAATCCACCTGCCCTTGCATACATTCTAATAATGCAGTTTAGTCAGTAACCAGCCCATTAGCCTGCGATATACATGGATTAATATACATGAAATCATGTATGGCTGGCCATACATATATGTCAGAGGCATATGTTCCAGCTGGACTGGTGAAGATAAAATACATAAATATACTGTACTGCCCCCTCTCTTTCTCTTTCTAAGTAAAATTCCCAGTGTATTTCTAACTTCGTCTGTCAGTATTTCAGTTTATTTCACTATTCTAATCTTTCACTTTGCTGCTGCTTTCAGCTTTGAATATTTGTGTGACTGTGAGTTTTGGCTCTGACAGCTCTGCGGTGCACACAACACAACAGCACAGCCAAGTCATTTGTGTTGATTCTCTCACTAGGGTCTTGTTAGTATCAAAATAGTCATATCCAGTGAGATCCTGCATTGTGCAGTTAAAATATAAAGTAAGAGCAAATGATTTGGAGAATCCTTTTTGTAAGACACCACTGAATAATTCCATTGTTTGTAGGGCTAGATCAGAGACAGTGACTCATAGTCACACATCTGTCCTTGGCGACTGCCTCTGTGTTTCTGACCAGCACCTGGTGTGCAATAGGAAACAGTGTACAATAGACATGACAGTGAACTCAAGAGAACGGAAGGCCCAGTTTTCTGTGTTTCTCTGTCATGTACTGCTTGTTTGGCATCTAATTAGCTATTCATGATCTTTGTCGTGGAGATGAATATTTCTCAGTTGATCTGAGAGCATTCACCACATTAAAGACTGACATTTTGTTTAATTTTTTTTTGTCAGTTGCGAGAAAAGTGCAATGTGGGCTTGTTGTTTTGTAAAAGCCCATTTTAATGAGTTCTTTCAGGGAATTAAGCCCTGAAATATTTCACCTGTCCAGTGGCTTAAAATTACACGTTTAAACAGAATCACTGTTCACTAGTATACTAGAGAGGTGAGGGTTAGTTACATTCACATTCATATTAATTAACGTTCTTGTTATTAATGACATTTAAAAAAAACGAGTCTGTGGCATGATCCAGCTGCTTCTCTACAGGATTAGTACTCCTGGAAATTTAAAGTAACACTAACTTTTAAAGGGCAAAATATACAATATGATAGTTACGCGGCCTGATAAAGCGTGTTCTGGATGTTTCTGCTTAGCTAGTATAAGGGGATTCTCTGAAGACACTGAAAAACGTATCTAATTGTTTTCATTGTTTACACTTTGTAGCTTTCATCTACTCTTACACAAAAAAGCTATTAGCAACTAAGAACAATAACTATCCTGTCATCTTTATTTTCGAGCCAGCGGGCTGGTTCACTGGAATCTCTTTAAGGGGGATTTCCCCCTCAACCTTGATGTCAAATAAATCTAAGTCTAACATTTGTGTTGAAATAATGACCATCTGTAGTTCTTGTTCTTCCTCTCTTCTCTCTCTTTGTCTTACAAACACTTTTGTAATGTTTTTAGTGATAATTGACTGTAATCTGTGATCTTTCTAATGCAGAAGAGTAGATATATATACTTGATTTAAGATGCTGTTGCAGGGAGCAGACTGGGGTCGATATGCAAAAGTTGGAAGCAAGAGGGATGATGTCAGTTTTTGTACATTTCAGTAATCTGGAGCTTTTGTTCTCTTTAAAAATAAGGTTGTTTAATCAATGCCTGCACGTTCATTTATTTAGATATAAAATAAATATTGTTTTAAATATGTAAATCTAAGGTTCGAACAGCATTGAGCGGCACAGGCTCCAGGATACTGAAACCTCAGATGATATATATGTAAAGTTCACTACAACAGCACTTAAATACTGAGGACTAATGTCACTCACACATTCTCCAGAATGTTGATCTTCATTTCTCCTGTGCTATTGTAAAGGATGAAAGCTATGCACTTACAGAAAGCTTTCCATGATTACATCCATATTAATGACAGCAACATTCATAAAGTGAAATATATTCTGGAGATTTCTTTCAAAATGAATTTACCATTAAAGTACTATGGAAATGAATTTATTTTTCTGATTGTGACAAATATTTATATATAAGCAATGTGGTGTTGCTCCAAAGTTTTCTTGGTCTTTTGTTTGGTTTCATGCATGGAGAGGATACTTTCTAATGATGGACCGGAACTATATTTCTACACTCAAAATGTGAATGTTTCTTTCTTTAATGTAACTGTCAGGTGAGGTTATCTGTATGTATTATTTGGGGGAAATAAAGATAATGTTGGGTAATAAATAAAAATATTTGTTGTGTGATTTATTTACCATCCAGCTAGGCTATTAACTCGCCATGACGAATGATTTACTTGTGAAGTAAGTTATGTTTTTTAATTGCCAGTACACGGAATGCATGTGTGCTAATTAGCTGTAGTAATGAAGCTGAAACTAAATATAATAGGTCTACAAACTGTCCCATTTTGTTCATTCTTAACTTAGTTCCTTTAACTAAACTAACTTAGTATATTTGACATGTAGACATTGTGTTGGTGCTATACATTAAATTAAACAAGATAACCAGATGATAGTAGAATATATTCTTGAACAGTCTTGAAACTGCTTCTGTAACCTGCAGGATGACTGCTGTAGCTCAGTCATAACGGCTAACTCACCCGATTCCCGCTCTGTGCTACAAAAAGATCATATGTTAATATGAGATGTGCATTTAGCGCGGCTTCTAACAAGTAATTATCTGTGTTTGAGCGCCCTCGTGTGCTGGAATTTTTTTTTTTGAGAGAGATTAAAAAACTACAATTCCCAGCACGACTTCCGTTGTTCGTCGGAAGTACATTTCTAAAGCAGGACATTTTGGTTTCATGCGGAAGTGACACGTTCATAATGGTAAGATGATCTGAAATAGACGTAGAAGTGTTATGTTTTTTATGTCTTTTTTTGTCGTTTGCTTGTATATGTATTCATATTATGCCTAGTTGTTGCTCGCCGCGTTGTTCCTGGTTGTTAACTGTCCAACTTTCCAGTTAATATGATTAATAAGCAACACAAGAGTTTAACATCGTGGTCCGTATTTAGGCGACATAGAATAATTCACTAATAAAAGAATAGTTCTTATTCATTCATTTAAATGTATTTGTTCAGTAGTACTTCTTTGTTCATTGCTTTATGACAGCTAATGAATAATTTGACCCTGTCACAGAGATCCAGACATCGAGACACTTCATAAACACACTAAGTGTGCATCTTTAAACTTGCCTTAAAAACACATCATTTGTTTCTTTCAGTGTGGAGTATAGAAGTCAATAAAAGACAACATATTAATTCCTCAAAAATTAAATATTTATTTTATTTGTTTAAATATGTTTATCATTATATGTTTGCGTTTTATTTTAAATGAGTTGTATTAAATGAAATTTGCACTTTTATTTAGGCTTATATTTAAACTCTAAAAAACATTTCTTTTCAGGCAACAGGAGCAGATCAAGCTGTTGGTTTTGGACTTGTTGGTTTTAGTCTGTTGCTGTTTACATATTACACTATTTGGGTCATAGTCTTGGTAAGTGTGTGTGTGTGTGTGTGTGTGTGTGTGTGTGTATGTATGTGTGTTTTATGCTTAAACTTTAACAACATTTAAATGTGATGAATTAGTTTAGCAGTTTTCCAAATTGATATGACACCCATAACATGCTTTGTTTCATACGCTACTGAAAAAAATATTGAAGTGATCAAACACTGATGCAGACTTTTCTGCCCTCGTTCCAGCCTTTTGTAGACGGTGACCATGTGATCCACAGCTATTTTCTTCCACGAGAATATTCAGTCATACTTCCTGGAGTTGCAGCATTAATCCTCTTACTTTTTGTTGGTAAGCAAGCAATCCATGAACATAATGTTAATAGTATATCAAGTTCAAAATGTTTGTAATTATATCCACACCCCTTCCGAACAGCTGTGACAGTCACATCTTTCAAGAAGTAGCAGAAGACACACCTCTTCTGCAAGCACTTAACCACCTCACACCCTTAAACCAATGCACTTATACACAAAAAGCACTTACTTTTCTTCTGTGCATTACTCCTCTTTTCTAACTTGCTTCCTAATCTAGTTGTAAACCTGCATTGTGAATAATGTGGTTCCTTGACAAATTGCTTTTGTTCCTCTTTGGATAAAAGCATCTGATAAATGCATTAATGTAACGTAAATGTAAATCCAACAATACAGCCAACAATACAGCCAAAAAAAATCAGAATTTATTTGTTTTCCTCTGGTCGTTCATTTTCTCTGTCTACTCTAGTGAACAAATTTACCCTTACTGTTTTTTTCAGGCACCTTCATAGGGGTGGTAACATGGAAGAATCGAAAACCTAAGAAAGTTGATTAAGACTCTCCAGGCTGTTGTGATTCATCTGGTCACAAGAACGAACTGTGCTGATTTGACTCATGTACCACTTCCTGTACACAGCCGCGTGAAGATCAACTCCAAAGCTGCTCTCCTGGATTCCAGTTATTAGACATGTTCAGGTGGTTCCTAAAATGAACAACAAAATAGATTTCATTAATAGCCCAAAGCAGTACTGAACATGTAGCTGCGTAGTAGTCTGTTTGAGCTTTGTGCACCCGATGGCCACAACCTTGATTGAAGACCACTATAGCTTTG